TTAATTAATTAATTAATTAATAAAATTAATAAAAATTTCCATCATTGCAATATTGCTTGTAGGTGTTAACAAATGCTGCAATGCCATTCGATAAGAAATGAAAACCAGGTACATTTTATCATGAGTTTCGCCAATTGTAACTGAAACTCAAACCAGCACCAGCAAACGTAGAACTGCAATGTGAAACCAGGTCAATGTATGAGCCCTATGTCGCTCATACAATGACATCATCACTGTACTTGGCGGAGGTCTGCGCTCTCCGAGTGCTCTAGACGTGATGCGGCCATGATGCCGAGGCGCTCGCCGAGGATTGACACTTTGTGTCTTCCAATGCACAGTTTACGCGCCCTTATTATCTCCTACTTGTTAGCTATTAATAACCTATTACGCACGTGAATTCGACGATCATCACGAACTAGGCATTCTGCTAGGCTAAACGGTTTTTCTAACGATAGAAGTTTTGGCACAAAAACGAAATAACACGGCTGTATTAGCGGCACTGATAGGCTCTTCTCTTTTGTATTTGGCATCTCCGTAAACAAAAGAATAAGCTCCACCTTGTCTTCGTGATGGACCATGAATGGAGCGTCACCGACGTTACTAACCGTACCGTGCCGTTGCTGTGCCTACCGTTTTCGCCGCTCATTTACTTATTTTCCTAAACATAATGAAATGCCCGGCCGATCATTTAAGCAATCGAACAGACAAGTTTTCTGCATTTCACGTGTCGCTGTCCTGGAAGCGACGAGTTGCGTCATTCATTGAACCAATTCTAAGTAAAACACACGAAATTTTCGGAGGCTAAATCGCGGCTAATGTTTACAGCCATCAGCAGCCGCATCTCCTTGATTTTTTTATAAGTAAGATTGGGATTTCTATTAAAATAATCACGTTTATATGTATTTACACACGATTACGTATAGAAACTATAATGTTTATATTTACTGGATTGTCTCGCGTATCTTTTCCATTGGAGTATTTCATCGAATCTTTTCAAGCCCATTTCGTAGCTTTTCTGCGTATTATTATTTGCGCAGGCACTCATTTTGGGAAATCCTCCAACATTTTTATAGCTGTTTTCCTTAGTTACAGTTTAATTGACTTTCACGTGTATTTAGGAGGAAGTAGTCCAGTGCATTAAAGATGCAAATAAAGGCCTCTACCAGGGAAAATCGAGGTGAAATCAAGCTGGATATCTTTCACTAATGTGTTGGACTATAGTCCTATAACAAACCTAAAAAAAAGTTACAAAATTTTTTTTGGTCGGAAACTTTTTTTGCCGGGCCACGGCCATTTTCGATTTCGCGATTATGGAAACATTGTAAATCTTACCTGAACACTTTTAAGTCATAGTTATAACAATGTTCTCTAGTAGGGGTATTTTTGGGGCGGGGAGTCGATTCCAACAGTCAGTTTAAATTCATAAATTAAACGGACTAATGCTTAATTGACCGAAAATTAAACTCAATAAGGCTCAGCGCTGACCAAAATTACGGTGAATTTCTAGCCATATGGCATGTTGAGGTTATGGCTTTCTGGTTATTTTTGGATGCCCGATCTGAATTCTGGTGTTTTATTTAAACATCAGAAGATGATTCATACATATCAGATGTTTCACAGTGATCCGTCATAGAATCAGGTCACGTGTTTATGTTATTGTCATGGTTGGACAGAAGCGAAGCGTGCTGCTGTGACATTTCAGAGATGAATGACGCAATGTTTCTGATAGAAAGCGCTGTTTAATAGTCGCACGTCACGTCATCGCTGCGTGCATGGCAGTGTGCACGTACACCCTGCGTCGCATGCGTGCGTGCGTGCGGTGCGTGGTGCTTGACACGTTCTCGCGTTCGTGTGTGCACGTACACGTGCGTGCGTGCATGTGCACCTGAAGCGTTCTGCGTCGAGTGCACTGTACACGATGCGTGCGTGCGTGTTGCAGTAACACGTGCGCTGCTAGTGGCGATGCGTGTGCACGTAGCACAAGTGCGTGCGCATGGCTGTTGTGTGTACGTGCGCGTGCGTGTGTGCAGGTACACCGTTGTGTGCATGGTGTGCGTGTGTGTAGCAGGTACCTGGCGCGCGTGGCATGCCAATGCATGTGCACGTAGACGTGCGATCTCGTGTCATGTAACCAAAAACCTGTGTCATGCATGCGTGCGTGCGTGTGTACGTTAAGACGTGCGCTGGCATACGTCAGCGTGGTGTGTGTTGCGTGGGTGCACGTATAACTGATGCGTGTGCAGGAGTAACGTATGTGTGCGCGCGCGTGCGTGCGTGCGTGCAGTTTGGATTACACGTGCCCGCGTGCCGTACCTGCATATGCGCACGTACGACATGCGCATGCGGCGTGCGTGCGTGTGCACGTAAACGTGGCTGCATGCGTGTGCGTGCGTGCGTGTCAGCGCAACATGTTGCGTGTCTTGCGTGATGCTGTGCGTGTGCACGTACACGTGCGTGCATGCGCTGATCGTGCGTGCGTGTGCACGTACACGTCGTGCAGTGCGTGCGTGGTGCGTGGTGCACGTACCACGTGGTGCCATGAGGTGATGCGTGTGCGTGCGTGCTGCGATGCGTGCGTGTACGTACACTGCGGTGCGTAGGTATGTATCGAACAATATCAGGGCGCATCTGCTTTTGCTGCACAACCGTTAAAACTGCGCATGTGCGCATAGACGGATAATGTGTTTATCAACTGAACACTCCTCATAGAATCGTATCATTATAATAACGCATACCGTTACTGTTTTAAAGTTTAAAACAAGTATTGATTATATGAAGCTTACGAACGATCAGACAACCGAAGATAACTCGATAAATGGAACATAACACATAGGATTTGATTGAATACAAACAATAAGACATATAATGTTGTCCTTCTAACATAACTATTGTAGTCAAACGTCCAGGAAAGTAACAAGTACTAAATGCAACTGTACAAAAAAACTTACCAGCATGTCCAAAATAACTCCGAAGCTATCAAAAAATAGTCCTATATATCATAATCTTTATAGTAGCAATAATTAGAGACAATATTTATAACCTTATAGTACAACAAGTTAGTCGATAAATTGAAAAGTCAATCTTCTGAGACATCTTCCTCGGCTGTCCCACTGATCCTTGATCTTCCTCAGTCATCTCCGTTCCTGGTTGCCGGTTAAACTTTACAGTCTGGTTCTCACAGTTTCCACAGCCGACAGAAATCAGTAGCATGATTCTACTACTTCCGAACAATCCCGAAGCCACTTTACATCATCTTTGATGGATTCCTGCAACCGGCATATTTAAGGACATGGTACACACAACAAGAATGCCACAGTATCCATTCTGCTAGAAATAATACATGCGGTTGACAATGTTGCGGACTGTAAGCTGTAAGCGGGACTGCTGCTCTCGAATCCAAAAAACAAACACAAGTTGCATTGGCCTTGTTGTATGGAGGCTAGAAGTGGAGGCTCTACCCACGTTAGCCAGTGTGTAGCTGATGCAGACTCCAATATTTTGTACGAAAAGCAATGAGCTCTCTTGAGAGAAGCCCATGTGTGTGTGGTCGCTGAGGAGCAGTGACATCTTAGTTTGACTGCTTCACCACATCGGCTCCAACCTAAGCACTTGCGTAATCTGAAACAACCCGGGGAACACCGTGCTGGATATGCGATCCTCTTGCCTCAGCCCTCCCCGAGCCTACAATCAACACGCCCTTCTGCAACCCATGCAAGTGTCGGGGTGTGACACAACATCAAGGTTTCTTTGGCTTTCGGTAAGACCGGTTGTTCAAAGTCAAAGATCCTGGAGAAGATGACAGCGAGCACAGCCGAATTTGACTGTAGGCCAGGAGTCAACTAGACGCCGAATTGGTAAAGCAGGGAGTGAGATCATTATCCAGATGTACACCAAAGTCAACAGATCCTCGCTTGCTGTCACTAGACAAGTTGCGCGCACAAGCTCTTCCTTAAATGCTGCTGCACAAAGAAGAATAGGAAGCTGTACATAGAAAAGTTGACGCACAGACGGCTCCTCCCACCTCCTCAGCTTGCGAAGTACCACTGTCTCAGAGTGACGCATCAGGTACAAGAGTCGGCTATTAACAAACTCTTGACCCTCAGAAATGGTGGGTCTGACTCCGATGGGCAAGTATGGACCCACCTCTACACAGACAAGCAGTGGCTACCTCCGCAATTGTCAGATCCATTAGCTGTTGGGTGTAAATGTAACTGATTTCTGTGGCAACTGTGAGAACCAGACGTAAGTTTAACCGGCAACCAGGAAACCGGAGATGAATGAAGGAAGATCAAGGGATTCGTAGGGGGACGCCGAAGAAGATTCGCCAGAAGAATTGACTTTTTCGCAATTTATCGACTAAACTTGTTGTAGCTATAAGGTTTATAATATTTACAATTATTGTACTATAAGTTATGATATTAGGACTAATTTTTGATAGCTTTCGGTTGATTTGGACATGCTGTAAGTGATTTTTTTTACAGTGCCGATTAACTTGTTACTCTTCCTGGACGATTGTGCATACATAGTTCTGTTAATTAATAGGAACAAATTATATCTGTCTATTGTTGTATCAATCAAATCCGTATTGTATATTCTTTATCGAGTACTTCGGGTTGTCGAGTTCGTAAGCGTTCATAATCAATACTTGTTTAAATTTAAACAGTAACCGCGTATGGTTATTAATGATCGATCTATAACCGTTTTTAGGGCATGTAATCATACTTCGAGCTTGTTAAATAACACCCAGAATTCCGAATCGGTGCATCCCAAGAAAAACCAGAAAGCATACTAACATGCCATATGTCAGAAAAACCGAAATTTTGGTACGCAGACTGATCTTAATTGACTTAATTCGTCATTAACATTAACCGTTCAATTTATGAATAAATTGACCTGTTGAATCGACTCCCCGTCTCAAATACCCCTATTAACATGTATAAACATGACTATAAAGTGTTCAGCGGTAAGATTTACACAATTTCGCCAATAATCGGCAAAAATTGGAAAAAGGGACGTGGCACCTAAAAAAGTTTCCTGACCAACAAAAATTTTGTAAACTTTTTTTTCAGGTTTTTTATGAACCAATAACCAACAAATTAGTAGAAGAATCCAGCTTGTTTCACTCGATTGCCCGGTAGAGTGCAATTTAGTGACTGGACTTAAAGGTCAAAAACTGTACTGTGCATTCGATAATTTCACTCTTGCTTCTATAGTATAGATTTCCATAATTTGGCTCTTCTCCCATGATAATATTTCTCGTCGTGAACCTACATTTTTAAGTTCGGACTCATCATATCGTTATCACCTCCTATATCATTAATTAAAATCGCCTAGGTAATGAAATCATTTGGTGGCATTTTTGATTTACTTGGTTGCCTAATAAATTCTCTATCCTTTCTTTGTTTGTGAATTTTATAACCATTGTATTTGTTTTGTTCATAATTAAATTCTAATCTTTTTGATTCAGCTAACTGGCGAGAATGACTGAGGCAAATTTTGTTACGGGTTTTATAATCTCAAATTCTACAATATCGTCAATAATAATAATCATTGTCATCCTTCTAAAACTAGCAGACCATATTTTCCGCGTGACGCGCCTGTGGAAACGTGCGCCGGTCCTCGTGAATTGGCGCACGTCTGCCACTGCGGACAGCGCTTCATTACTTTTAACACCCCCGGTCGCGTGCGCATATCCCGGCGACTGGCGTCCCATCCGCGCGCAGCGCTTAAGATCAACAGCAAACTGTGGCCACGCAAATCTTGATTATCATGCTCTCTGGTTGATTTAAATAGAACACTCTTTGGCCAGTGGTAGCATATAATACAGTCCTGGCTTGTGTATGACTTATTTCTGGCACAGTTAACATATCTGTGTGAGTCATAGATGTGTTCACAGCTAGTACTAGGTGGGCAGGCATGAAAATTTTCCGGCGTTTCATCGCGGTTTTACCCTTTTTTCCCCGAATCCCAAGAATTGTTTCCGCGTTTTCCCGTTTTTTCCCAGTTCACGTGCAGCATTCGTAATCCTCCAACGCGTGCATATGCACATGCAGCGCACGTATCGATCGTCTACTTGCGGCTGGCAGCAAGCTAGACGGGTACCCGTAAGCCGTAGAACGTGTGTGCGTGAGCGCGTGGTGGCGACATGTGTGCGTGTGCGACGTGTGTGGCGTGGAGCGCCGTGTATGTCGACGTGGTGTGGCGTGAGCGCGTGTATGCGAACGTGTGTGCGTGAGCGCCGCGTGTGCGTTACGTGTGTGCGTGATGCGCGTGTGCCGTGACGTGTGTGGCGTAATCGTGTGTGTGCGTGAGCGCCGTGTGTGCGTGAGCGCAATGTGTTGTGGCGTGTGGTGTGTGGCGGCGGTGTGGCGTGAGCGTCGTGTGTGGCGACGTTGTGTGCGTGGAGCGCGGTGTGTGGCGACTTGTGTCGTGAGCGCGTAATTGGCGATGTGTGCAGCGCGCGGTGTGGTGTGAGCGCATGTGTGCGCTGATGCGGCGTGTGTGTCGATGTTTGTGCGTGATGCGGCAGTTGTTGTGCGACGTGTGTGCGCGAGCGCGTGTATACGACGTGTGTGCGTTGAGCGGCGTGTGGTGCGAACATGTGTGCGTGTGCGACGTGTGTGCGTGAGCGCCTGTGTGCGTGACGCGTGTGTGGCGACCGTGTGGGCGTGCCGCGTGTGTGCGACGTGTGTGGCGAGAGCGCGTGTGGTGCGTGAGCGCGTGATGCGTGAGCGCATGTGTGGGCGTGAGTGCCCCCCGTGTGTGCGACGTGTGTGCGTGAGCGCGTGTGTCGACGTGTGTGCGTGAGCGCGTGTGTGCGTGAGGCGCGTGTAAATCAGTGAGGGCATGTGTGCGACGTGTGTGCGGTGGCGCGGGTGTGCGAGTGGTGTGCGTGAGCGCGTGTTGCGACGTGTGTGCGTGACGCGTGTGTGCGTGACGCATGTATGCCGTGAGCGCGTGTGTGCGACGTGTGTCTGCGTGAGCGCGTGTGGTGCGTCAACGCGTGTCGTCGCGTCAGCGCGGTGTCGTCAGCGCGTGTGTGGTGAGCGCGTGTGTGCGTCGAGGCGCGTGTGTGCGTGAGCGCGTATAGGTGACGTTGTGTCGTGAGCCGCGTATTGCGACGTGTGTGCGTGTGTGCGGTGAGCGCTGTGTGTGCAGTGAGCGCGTGTGTGCGTGAGCGCAAATGTGTTGCTGATGTGTGTGGCGTAAGCGCGGTGTGTGTGTCGACGTGTGTGGCGTGAGCGCGTGTATACGACTGTGTGTGCGTGAGCGCGTATGTGCGGTCGACGTGTGTGCGTGAAGCAAGTGTGTCCGTGAGCGACGTGTTGCGTGAGCGGCATGTGTGCGACGTGTGTGCGTGAGCGCGTGGTGTGGTCGACTGGACGTGGGTGCGTGTGCGTTGAGCGCATCGTGTGCGCGTGTGTGCTGTGGCGTCTGAGCGCGTGTGTGCGTGAGCGCGTGTAATGCGTGAGCGGCATGTGTGCAAACGTGTGTGCGTGGTGCGTGAATGCGCGTGAGCGGGGCGTGTGTGCGTGAGCGGCGTGTATGCGTGAGCGCGGTGTGTGCGTGAGCGCGTGTATGCGTGAGCGCCGTTGTGCGTGAAAAGCGGTGTTCGTGAGCGCGTGCATGCGACGTGTGTGCGTGAGCGCGGTGTGTGCGTTGTGTGCGACGTGTGTGCTGAGCGCGTGTGTGCGAAGTGTGTGCGTGTCGACCGTGTGTCGACGTGAGCGCGTGTAGCGTGAGAGCGCGTGTGTGCGACGTGTGTGCGTGTGTGCGTGTTGTGCGAGACGCGTGTATGCGACGTGTGTGCGTGAGCGGCGTGTGTGCGACGTGTGTGCCGTGAGGCGCGTGTGGTGACATGTGTGCGTGTGCACGTGTGTGCGTGAGCGCGTGTGTGCGACGTGTGTGCGTGAACGCTGTGTGCGTGAGCGCATGTGTGTGCGTGTGTGCGTCAGCGCGGTGTGGTGCGTTCAGCGGCGTGTGTGCCTACGCGTGTGGTGTGACTGTGTGTGCGGAAGCACGTATGTGGCGTGAGCGCGTGTGGCGTGAGCGCATCGTGTGTGACTGTGTGGTGCGTGAGCCGCATGTGTGTTGATCGGTGTGTGCGTGAGCGCGTGTTGTGACGTGGTGTGCGTGAGCGCGTGTTGTGACGTGTGTGCGTGAGCGCGTGTGTGCGACGTGAGCGTCATCACGCAAAGCGGCGCAGCGAAAAACATTAAAAATGGATGTATAAATTAAGTTTTTTGACGTTATAAATTACTGAGTAAGCAAGTTCTTAGCTCAATACATTTTATATTTTATTTTCCACTCTTTCTTGGGGGGGGCTTTGGTCTCCCTTTCCACTTTTTGGATTTGAGGGGAGGCTGCCCCCCCCTCCCCCCCACTTCCGGCGCCTCTGATTCTGACCCCCAAAATTAAAAAATCTCCCTACCGTGGGAGGCTGTACCCCCCCCCCCGCCTCGGGAGTTTTCAGTGTTTTTCTTCACCGGTCATTTTCATGCCTGTAGGTGAGATTGTGTTGCTGTATCGCCTTTAGCGACAGATAATGAGTTTCCTGGTTGCTGTTTATTGTACTGGCATGGTCACAATATTGCAATTATGGGCTTGCTTTGCCACCTTTAAAATTTATATAAACTGTTTGCACACATGAAAGTTAGCTTGTTTAAAAATTAAATGAAAGTATAAATCATGCCATTTTTATAGCAAATATTGGGAATGCATATCTTATTATATTGTTGTGATGTTGTAGTGTTGATGGTGTGGTGATACTACATTATCATGTGCAAATATGGCTTATTCTGTATTTTGTAAACATGACAAGGTAAACATATGATATGGGTTATGTGGCTGGTAACGTTACCTCATTGTAATTAGTGCACGGCAAGTCACATGCCATGCAATTAAAAAGCAATATTTTCCGCTGAAAATCAATATTTACGATTAAAGAAGGATTGAGCCAGTGGACGAGGACAGTATATCAAATCTGGTAAAAACGTAACGATGGTAAAACACCCAAACATTGATTTTATCAGTCCACCAAACGCAATGTTTCTTTCGAAACAATGCGATAACTGTGTGACGTAAATGTATGAGAACTGCCGTATACATCGACGAGTCACTGTTGCCGCGGCGATCCCATTGTCATTTGGTTTATCATCGTCTTTCAGGTGTACGTTGACCAGGTGGACAAGAACATTGTTTCGGTGACGAGGCACTGTCCCAACACCCATCAGTCCGTCATCCTGGTGGCAAGGACCGCCTTCGAAAATCCCCAGAACATCCGTGAGACGGGAGAGATCCCGCCGCTGTGTATCCCAGGTAACGGTGACCTTCTCCTGACTGTCCCGGCTCGACTGTCGTCAGGCAGTAGCAAGAATTGCTGTGCGAACAACAAAGCATGGAGAAGAGTCGAGTTACCACCTCCATTACTTATTCTAATATTTACGAACGTTGCTTTTATGTATGGGATTATTTTACATACCCATGTAGATGAATATTATCATGTTTATTTATTATAATATTGTTGCCCACTTAATACTTAGTTGTGTCTTGCAACAAACTGTTCTCTCAACCCCTTCCTGTCGCATGACACACTGCCATGTCTCGCTCTTTCTTTCTCCTGCTCTCCCTCCCTCCCTCCCTCCCCCCTCCCTCTCTCTCTCACTCTCTTACTCTCTCTCTCTCTCTCTCTCACTCCCTCCCTCCCTCCCTCTCTCACTCTCACACTCTCCCTATCTCTCTCTCTCAGGCGTCGTGGATGAGATCGTGCTGGAGGCGCGTCTCGTGCCGCGGCCGGGCAGCCCCGCGCGCGACGACCGCGCCTACATCGCCGGCCTCGCCGACTATGCGTGCGAGCTGAGCGAGCACGTCCCGCTCAAGGACAGCCACATGGTAGAGCTGAGCCACGAGGGAGAGCACGGCCTGCAGGTCGTAGACTTCACCTGCTTCACCCCCGGCTCCGTCATCGCGTTCAAGTGAGTGCGGGCGGGGGCGAGACGGG